GGAGGTGGAGAGATTGAGGTTGAAGAGACAGGAGTGGAGGTGGAGAGGTTGAGGTTGAAGAGACAGGAGTGGAGGTGGAGAGGTTGAGGAGACAGAAGGAGATGTGGAAGTGTTGAGAGTGGGAGAGTGCTAGGAAGTCTCTGGGATAGTTGAGTCTGGAAGTGACTCACCATCACAAATGCAGCAGAGATGAAGTAGAGACAACCCATTCTTCGTGCGGTAGTTCATGTTTACTTTACTAAAGGCTTCATCCGAACTGGAAAGAAAGATATTTTCCAGAATTCAAAACCCAAAACCATAGCAGAAAGTATAACTGATCCTGTTCAAAAAATACATTTTGATACCCTCTGTTTCAAAGGTGCCCAGATATTTGACCATAAATGCCAACACAGAATAATCCAGGAGTTGTTTGAATTCTATCTTTTTATTATTCACTCATGGGACATGTGCATCACTGGCTGGGTCAGTATTTATGACCCATCCCTATTTGCCCTTGAGAAGACGGTGATGAGCTGCCTTCTTGAACCACTGCAGTCCACCTGCTGTAGGTAAATCCACAATCCCATTAGGGACGGAATTCCAGGATTTTGACTCAGTGACAGTGAAGGAACAGAGATATATTTCCAAGTCAGGATGGTGAGTGGCTTGAGGGGAACGTGCAGGTAGTTTCCATGCATCTGCAGCCTTGTCCTTCTAGATGGAAATGGTTGTGGGTTTGGAAGGTGCTGTTTGAGGATCTTTGGTGAATTTCTGCGGTGTATCTTGTAGACAATATGCAGTGTTGCTACTGAGCGTCACTGTGGAGGGAGTGGATGTGGTGCCAATCCACTGAGAACCAATTTAGGTCAGCGAACACAGTGTGGGAATGGATAAATGAATGGGCTTTCTGGCGAGGAAAGATTGGACAAGCTAAACATTTATTAACTGGAGTTTAGAAGAATAAGAGGCAACTTGATTGAAACAGGTAAAGTTCTGAGGGGTTTTGACCAAGTGGATATGGACAGGATGTTTCCTGTTGTGGGAGAATCTAGAATTAGGGGTTATTGTGTAAAAATAAGGGGATACACATTTGACACAGAGATGAGGAGAATTTATTCTTCTCACAGAGAGTCATGACCTATTGGAATTTTGAAACAGTAGCTAAGAATCTTTTAAGAATTTTTAGAGACAATCTAACCACCACCCCTTGGCATTTAATGGTGTTACCATCACTGAATCCGCCACTATCAACATCCTAGGGGTTACTATTGACCCGAAACTCAACTGGACTCACCACATAAATACAGTGGCTACAAGAGCAGGCCAGAAGCTGGGAATACTGCAGCGAGTAACTCACCTCCTGACTCCTCAAAGCCTGTCCGCTATCTACAAGTCTGGACGAAGATGGAATACTCCCCACTTGCCCGGATGAGTGCAGCCCCAATAACACTCAAGAAGATTTATACCATCCAGGACAAAGCAGCCTGCTTGATTGGCACCACATCCACAAGCATTCACTCCCCCACCACCGACGCTCAGTAGCAGCAGTGTGTACTATCTACAAGATGAACTGCAGAAATTCACCAAAGATCTTTAGACAGCACCTTCCAAACTCATAGAACATATAGAACATAGAACATTACAGCGCAGTACAGGCCCTTCGGCCCTCGATGTTGCGCCGACCTGTGAAACCTATCTGAAGCCCATCT